AACATTAGTATTGAGACTTGAACAATAGACATGAGCCAATTATTTGTTACCAGCCTGAGTAGTCATAGACCTTGTAAATAGGTAGCCTTGGTGGATATTACCAACTTAGATAAGGACAAGTGAATCATAGACAGAGTCATAGTGACCTGTCCCCTGAACCTTCACCCAGCCGATACCCTGTTCTGAAAGATATCCATAACTCCCCTGAACACCCACGCTCCGGTGTCATCCCCTTCCCCACGTCCTGCATTTTTGTGTTTATAACCCTTGTGTGAATATGTAAAAATTACGATTTGATTAAAAAAAATAAAAGAGTATCATCAATTCCTTTCATACTTGGAAAAAAAAGAAAAGAAAAAAAGAAAAGATTTTCAGCAACATTTTCTCTAACATAAAGGAAAGCTAAATTGCCTAACTTTTGCAATGATTGAATATTTGTTCAGAAAATGTTTAGATTTTTTAGACTCATATTTCATTTCAATAATGACTTTTGTTGTTGTTCTAGCTTGATAATTGTTCCTATGATAAAATACTCTGACCCAAAGTGACTTGCGGCGTTTTTTGACTTATAATTTCAAGTAAAATCCCATCATTCAGGAAGTCAGGTAAGACCTAGAACAAGAAACAAAGAAAATATGATGCTTGTTTACTTACTCCCAGGATCATTCTGAGGAGTACTTGCATAGGGGTTTAACTACCACAGTGGGCTGGGTCAGGTTATATCATTTAACAATTAAAACAAGTGCCAATACCCATAGCCCCGTGTTAATCTGATCTAGACAATTCTTCAACAGAAGCTTTTCTCTTAGATGACTCTATTCTCTGTTAAATTGACACATCAGGCTAGTGAGGACAGTTAGTTTGCTTCCATATTACTTTTACTCATTTTTCTAATACTCATTAAAGCATTTAGTCTTTATTTTTGTGTTATTCCTACATCAGAGAAAACTTTTTCCGTTTTATAGGGATGGTAAATGGTTTTATTTCTAGGAGTTGTAATTTTATAAAGCAGCCATGATCCTGAGTTGGGTTTTGAGTCATGGTTATTATAAAGAATATCTTCTATTCAGTACATTATATGAGTTACTGGTACATACTGATCCTTAGAGATACAAACGTGATTATGAAACAGATTGTCTCATGACACAGGATTACAGTCATGAAAGAGACAATGAATTCCCAAATGATAATCATTATAGGGAGACAAAGTGGTCCTGGAAAAAATTATTTACGGAGTATGGAATGCCTGGTAAGAATGAGTAATGGAAGCATAAGTAAAATGAATAGAAGATTGAGGAATAAACAGAATAAAGAAAGGAAATCAATAATTTTTAATGGTGAATAATCAGTATAAAAACATAAAGGTCTAAAAAGCCCATAAAGACTCTCCTTTGACATTGGAAGGTAATTAGTTGTACTTCCTTTAGAAAATGGAATTTCATGTTGATGTTCTAGGAAAAGCATGACACTTTCAGAGTTAGATTCTACTAAAGTCAACATGGTAGCATGGTTATATTTGAGCTGCTAAGGAAAGCAACATGTAATCAGGCAACCTTGGGAGGTACGAGGTGGGGAAACCCTCTAGAATATAAAAGAGACCTGGGAGATGAGAGATTCTCAGGACTCAAAGGTAGGGACCCTAGTTGAAATGCTGTACAATGGGGAGAGAGAACTCATAGATTCCATCTCCAGCAGAAAGATAGAACATCAAGAAGAGAGATGGGGTTGCCATCTCACAGTCAAAACCTGTGACTCATAATTGTTCCTGTCTGAAGGAACTGCAGGGATAAAAATGGAGGAGACCCTGAGGAAAAGGAGGCATAGCAACAGGGCCTATTTGAGATCCAGCTCAAGGAGAGGCCCCAAGGCCTGACACTGTTACTGATGATATGGTGTGCTCACAAAAAGGATATATCATGGCTGTCCTTTGAAAGACCCAACAAGAAGATAAAAGAGTCAGATGCAGATATTTGTACCCAACCAAGGACAGAAGCTGCTGACCCCTGTGGTTAAATAAGGAAAAAGCTGGAAGAAGTGGAAGAGGAGGGTGACCCTATAAGAAGAGCAGCAGTCTCAACTAACCTGGACCCCTGAAATCTCTCAAACACTGAGCCACTAACCAGGTAGCATATACCAGCTGATATGAGGCTCTGAATACATATACAACAGAAGACTGCTGGGTCTGGATTTAGAGAAGATGCACCTAAGCCTCAAGAGACTAGAGATCCCAGAGAGTGGGAAGAACTGGTGGGGTGGTGGTAGGGTGGTGGGCACATTCTGGTGGAGATGGGGTTGGGGGATGAGAGATGGGATGTCGAACAGTTAGAAGGTGGACAGGGACTGGGATAAAGTCTGGACTGTAAAAAATAAAAGATTAATTTTTTTAAAAAGGAGAGAGATTAAAGAAAAAGTTGCAGCAAAAGATTCTGAGATCCAGAGAACAAGTTATCTGAATAGATAAACCAAATTGGTAACAACTTGGTGGCTAATGGATTGTAAGAAATAACAAAATGGTAGGTTTGTGGTGATACAGAAAAAAGGAATACTGGATTCTTTCCCATTGAAGATCAGTATGAATCACAGTGTAGCAAGAGAGTGGGAGGCAGAGCACACCGCACACAAAACGTTTCTATTTAGTTTACATACATTGTGTTTTCTGTTCTCTTCTTTTAATCACAGTGGACTAGGACACATAGGGCAAAACTTCTTAAATGCCACTTTATATTTGTTCTATTAACTTTTTTCACTGGTTCATGAAATATTAAGCTGTGATCCGAATTTTCTCTAGCCTTCATGTAGGAAACCCTGAGATATATCATACCTCCCTCTCCTTTAACTTCACATTTGTTTCTGTCATTGTCTTGGGGTGCCTCTGTCTCCCTCCTGTGTCCTGGCCTAATACATCTCTGAACTTCTCTAGACCCTTGAAAACCTTAAACTGATTCATTTGTCTTATGATTTGGATATGAAAGAGGCAAGAGGTCTCTATTGCAGTAAACAATATAAAATGATAGTTTAAGAAATAAAAAAGAACTGCTTAAAAAATCAGTAAAAGTACAAAATACATTAGAGTTATTTTCTACAAAGGCCAAAGATGTATGGATTCTAACTGTATTGAAAAGAACTAGGAGAACCAAGTCATAACAGCTGATATTTATTTTATTTGCACATTGTATAGCTTTTCACTCTGCAAATAAGTTTTAGTGGATGTAACAACTGCAGTTTAGAGATGGCTATACAGGATAAAAGTTGAGATGAAAATATTTGTGTTGCTTAGTTTATGTTAAATGGGTAAAGAATTGTAAGAAACTAAAGTACAAATCAAGGGACTCATGGTAAAGGACATTTCAAGGCAAAGGTAAAGAGAAGAAATAAAAAAGCAATAGAAAGGTAAGCAAAAAGTAGTATACAAAGATTACAGACTAAGTGCTTTGGGTTCAGGAAAAAGGAAGAATAAATTGAGCCTTGTATTAAAGAAGGAAGAGATAAAATGTGGTTTGAAGAAGACTGTCAAAGGGACAGAGCCATTTCTGGAATACATACTGTGTACGATAAAAAGTATTATTGTTGATGTTGCTGAAAGACTATAAGCTGCCCACCTTGGCTACAGATCACATTGTAAGGTGATAGCAGAAATTAAAATATGTAAAGGTAGCTAGAAACGGAGTGCAGTAAGATTGAATTCATAATGTAACAACGAAATATTTTACTGAGCAGAGAAATGAAGAAATGGTAGCTCATGTATGTAAAAGATTAGGCTGTCTGTTGCTTTAAGGGATAGTAAAGAGGACCTAGCCTCAATCCTACAGAACACTAAGAAGGAACTGCAAATTTTGAGCATTGCCAGTAGAGAAGAGAGCAAGGCATGCATGAGAAATGAGTTATGAATGTAAATCAGAGATAGCATTTGGAGAACACAGGTTATAAAAGAAGATCTAAAATAGAACTCAAATTTTATACTCAAAGTGACCCAAAAGAATAACTAAAATTTTACAGAAAGACTTTAAAAGTTAGTGCTTTTTGCTGAAAAAAAAAAGTTAATGACTTCGTTACATAACTTCTATGGTGCCAGGGGATATCATATAGCTTTTAAGAAAATGGAATTCATGAAGATACTTAGAGTTAAATACATAGACTACAAATGTGTGATGAAATAAATTGAAGGAATAAGTTCAAAGGCAGGGAATAAAACCCCGAGCTTCAGTCGGTGTTTCAGAATAAATAGGAAGAGCAAAGGAAGGAGGGTTTGTATCTTGTTAGCAATGTAGCAAAGTACTTGGCACAGCCCAGAGAAGGATGATTCATTACCTGTAGGACTTTAATAACTTTCAAAAACTATACGTTGTTGTAAATACTTGGTAATCAAACGATAATATAACTATTACATAGAAAATTCATAGGAAGTTTTGTAATAAGAGAAGTCGAGAGCAGAACACTGTTTGATGAAGGAATCAATAGCATCCACTTTGGGTTTAGGAATGAAGCAACTGGTACCAGAGGGAAGTGTTTGGGGGAAGGGATGAGAACAAGATGTGTAGTAAAGATTGCCTTTAGGTATTGTAAAATATCTTAATGAGATACACAGAGTTGGCTTCTGGAGGCAGGCTAGCATCTCCCGATCAGGGTGCCAAGGATAAACAGAGTAAATGTATGAGAGGGAGGATAAACTCTCAAAGATAAAACCTGAATAAGTGAATACTGTTGGTTAGCATAAAAACCAAATTGGGGACATGAAGACAATATAGCCATAGAATATACTTCTGAGACCCAAGAATACATAAATAGAGTAAGAGTCATAAAAGAATGAGTTTCTGATATTTCTTTTGAAATAGAAGTCTCTTAGGGAAGAAAAAAAAGATGACTAAAGGCAGCAATTGATGTATTAGCAGGTAGATTTGATTATTCTTTTAAGTAGAGACACAAAATAGACCAAAGAACTGTCTAGAAGAATAAAACAAATGACAACAATGGGTCATGCAGATCAAAACGGTAAATCTTACCTCTCTCAGAGGATCATTAAGTTCACTGAGAATATTTTCCTCGTCGAATATCTTGCCTTGGTACCGGTGCTCATAATAATCATGTATCTTCTGGCGCATGTCAGCTGGTAACTTGTGGAATGACATGTACTGTTCCACTTGCTTATACTAAAAAAAAAAGGAGAAAGATAGAAACATAGGTCATGTGGCCACCATCCTAGTATGTTATTGCACTATATTCAACAACATTGAAATAATTTGTAATAAAAAGACTAAATCCTTGCCAAAGAAGTAATTAGTTCACCAATGTCTAAGGTACTTACAGGTATAACCTTGTTTAAAGAATTTTACATAGGTGACCATATCCTGAAAATAATGGGATGTGGAGAAAAGGCACGGCAGGAACTCGGGGTTAATGTAGTTATGTATCTCTGAAACAGAAATGACGAGGCCAGAGTAAAAATAATAGTGTGGGTGCTATGCTTTACTAGTTGAGTTCTAGAAGAATTCAAGACACTGCTTGGCTCTTCATTTGAAAGAGAGATTCTGTATTTTTCCTGGTACAAAGGGGCTTTAATGTTAAACCTCTGACTAATATCTGAATCTAGTTAAAATTTGAATATAGAGGCAAAGAACTTGACAGCTCTCTAACGTTCATAGATTCTTAAGCGATAAAAGGTGTTGAGAAAACACTGAGCACATAAGAGAAGGATTTGAGATTCATTCTCCTTCACCCCTGCCTCCACGCTGGTGATAAACAAGTTTCAGAGAGTACAGACTCTTACCCATGATAATGTATGTAAGGAGCTAGATTCGAATTTGTCTCTATTTCTAGAAATGTTCTTGGGCAAAAAGAGGAGGAAGTAGGATATGACACAATGTTTAGGGTCTGAAATTCTGCAGCATAATCTTGATTTTAGCTTCTTTACTGTGTCCATACTTAGCCCCAAGTGATGGCCCTTTGGTGGTTAAGCCAGGCACTCAGCATGTTCTAGTTGTCAAATTTAGGCCCATGGATGGGCTCTTGGTTCCTGGTATTTGTCGACATTATCTTTCTCCTGATTTTTATGTCCTGAAATTTTAAACAAAGTTATTTTGGGCTATAGTCTGTATCGCAATAAGTTCTGTAAGTATTCAACATTAGAAAAAAAGTAATCAAAGGTTTGAATTCCTAAACTGATGTCTCTCATACACATTTAGTATGCACCCACAGATGTGGAATAGCTGCTAGCAGAACAATGGCTTCATTTTTTTCTTTAGTCATCCCTACTTTGATTGCTTAATGCACTGGTACCCAACTGCTCAGAACACTGAAACTGTAACCTTGATGCATATGATGGTTTATGTGTCTCCTTCCTTTCCATGCATCTCAGACATGTGAAATGCAGCAAGAAAAAGTATATTATTTACTTGTTCAAGAAAATCACTGCCTATATTTGAGATGTACATGTGTAAGGAAAACATCTGCTCTTTGCCCATTTATGAAATGGAAAATTGTCATTTAGCTAAAAGAAACTATTATACATAAATTATTTTATTTTATAAAAACAATTTTGGTTGAATATAGTTACATTCTCTCTCTCTTTCTCTCTCTCTCTCTCTCTCTCTCTCTCTCTCTCTCTCTCTCTGCTTTTATACCATTTTAATTACATGCAAGTATTAAACATGTTTGGTTTTCCTGTACTTCAAACCATTATCTTCAGAAGGTATTCAGTTGAATGAGTTCTCATTTTTTTTATTGTTCCATAGCTCTATGGATATCAACTGTAGCTTAGTCATATCGAGATAATTTTGATTTCATACTGCATATTACTTAAAAAAATTAATTTTGCCCAGTAATTATTCATCTAACATCTGTGAAATGATTTATCTGAAAAACAGTCTGTTTAAATGGATGAGTGTATGTGCATGCATGCATATGTGCCTGTGCATGTATGCGTGTCCACATGTGAGCATGTGCATGCATGTGCGTGTACTTGTGTGTATCCATAAGAATGTGCAAATGTTTATGCCAATGTCCATCTATATTAAAGTCTTTAGGCCAGGTCTCTATCTGAATGAGCTTGTCCTTTTAGGTAGTCTTGCTGGTCAGTGAGTTCTCTGTATCCATTCGACTTTCTCCCATAAGGCAGGGCTTACATACATAAATCCCTGGATTGTTATATCAGAGCTAGGGATTCAAACTCAAATATCATGCTTGCAGAGCATATGCTCTGAACAAATTATCTGTCTTCACAGTCTTGGATCAATTGTTAAAACATTTCCAGGTATCACTAGCAATCAGAAATCTATTAGGATTATGTATTTGTAGCCTCTCCCCAGATCTCCTGAATGAGAAGTCTACATTTAGGACACAACAGCTCTAAGCTTAACAAACACTGAATTTTTGAGTCACTTCTCTATGTCAAGTACCGGGTTATCTTAGGACATAGGAAGCCTATCTGAGTGAGAGCAGGAAAAAAACAAATTCAGATTTTGGAAAGCTAAGTTGAAGTGGCTGATGGCACATGGCCATGCTTATATGTAGGTCAGGCACTCAGAGAAGGAAATGCACACGTCATCAATGACTAAGAGACCAAGAGATGGTGTGTCAACTGAGAAGAAAGCTGGCAAGAAGCAGAAGTGGCATTTTAAAAGCAGTTCAGAGAGAGAAGAAGTTTAAGTTAAGGATATGGATAATAACTGTGTAAGTTTGAGAGGAGCATACAAAAACAAAACTAAACAAAACAAAAGCAAAACACAAAATTGTAGGTAGCAGAACCCAGAGTTTAAGGAGAGAGTGGTCAGTAAATAGAAAGTGTAGAAAAGAGGTGCAGGGCAGTGGGCATGGTTATAGATATTAGACAGACATCTGTTAGGGTCTAACACTTGTGACAAGTAGGAGCTGACTTTACTCTGTTTTCACCACATATAAGAAGATTTCCCAAAAGAGATACATTATCACTGCCATGTTGGTTGGCCAAGGAAGATAACTCTTCGAAGAAGACACATAGTGGCATTTAGAGAAGGAGATAAATAAAATGTGAGAAATTTTATAGAGGCTAACACGTTCAAAAAAAATGAAAGCCTGTCAATGTTTGTCTTAGTTGTAGGAATATAGTATTTTCAAAAATTATTCACTGCATTTAATAGCCACCAAGAAAACTGTTTATGGAAAGCATAGGTGTCATTTTTTCTTTAATATATACTAACAGAAATAACACCCATTAAAATTAAAGGGGCTACTTTAATTCCTACTTAAAATTATATTCTACTTTAATTTTTATTTTTCATGAAATTAGAATATATAAAAGTAATATATATGCATTATTAAATATAAAAGATAACAAGAGCATTTATTGTGAATGGTAATTGTCTATCCTCAAACTCGGTAGTGTTTGCTCATGTCTAGAGGTATTTGGGACCTATCATTCCACAATGGTTGCTTCTATTTCTTATGTGGATTAACTTTGAGCATTATTTATTAGTTTATTGTCAAAAAATGATATTTAACCATCTTCCATATCTCAGACCTTCTTTTACACTTGATAGTTATTATAATAGTGTTTAATTCTTCCCATGATCTCATCAGTAAAACTGCACAGCACATTTACATTCATTTAGTGCTGAAAAAACTATAATTATTGATCAAAAGTTTCAAATTTCCTCAATTCCACTTCCTAATTTGTTGTCTCTAAATGGAAATTATAATGCCATACTCAGAACTGAAATTCAAAAATCCATAATGATTCTTTTGTTTTAAACAAGTGGAATATTTTCCACAAGGCCAAGTAGAACTCTCAATAGTATTGATATTTATTTTTGTATGTTAGAATTTTAAATCATGTTAAAATTTGCATGATTAGCTCTAACTTGGGTCTCTATATCCTGATAGCCACTGTAGCTTCCTTATAAAACTTCTTGTCAGTTCGTCTTACAATATCTATGTTGGTTTCAATGAAACAAACTCTCGAAGATATTATAAGAAAGGGTATGTGGGATAAGTTCCATTAATCTTTTATTTATTGAAATTATTAAGCTTGGAATAAGTGATCTTATCAACATACATTAGCTATGAAAAGGAACAGGTTTTATTAGGGAATTTGCATGCATGTATATGGGATACATAGATTATACTCAGCCCACACTTCTTTCCTTATTTCCCTTCCACATACTCAGTGTCCTCCCCTTTCTACTTCCATGTTCTTCTTTTAACTAGCTTCCAGATGACAGAGAATATAATGCTTATTTTTCTTTTTTTTTTATGGGACTCACTATTTCAGTAATACGATTATGTTCGGTTCAAACCATTTTCCTACAAATGATATGATTTCAATCCTCTTTATGGGTGAGTAAAATCGTAGTGTGAATATATCACATTTTCTTTATCCATTCATGTGTTGAAGACCATCTGGGATGTTTCTTAACTTGACTATTGGGAATAGTGTAGAGACACGCATGGAAAAAGGAAGATTTTTTATTTTAAGCTCTCTGTGATTCTTTGTGGTTATATACCAAAGAGTGTATGTCTAGAACTTATGCAAGAAGAGATTACATACATGTGTGTGCATGTATACATACTCACAGGCATGCAATCATGTGGAAGTCAGCAGCCACTGCTGCATGTGTTTCACAACTCTCTATTTTTATATTTGAGACAAAGTCTTTACTACCTGATTTGGCTACAGTAGTTGGCCAGCAAGGACCAGGATGCTCCAGTCTTGGCAAGTGCTTCACCATTCTGGGCCATCCCCCAGCCCATAGAAGCTGTATTTTTAACTTATTTTGAGGAATAGTCATGCTAATTCACATCTCAATCTTGACTGATGATACATTTAATGAATCTTGGCTGAGTAAAATGAATTGGATGCTGAGCCTCTGAATTTGAGGTTTACCATCTACACTAGACTAGATTTATCATTTGTTTAACATACCTCTCATCTCGTTGTGTTTCCTTTTGACCACTACTGTGTTTCCTGTTTCTTTATATCCCCCTGAACTTTCCATCCATTCTAAATTTTAAATCATTTCCTAAAATTCCTTGAATCATATTTAATCCCCAACTTTTCTTCCTTTACATTAGCCTAAAGTTCACTAATGCATGCATAGAATTTAAGAGTGATTCTAAGGTGTGGCTGACTATATTACTGAAATTTGGAGTTTTAAGAAAATAAAGATTTGACACTTGT